ATTTTTTGTATTTTTTAGTAGAGACGGGGTTTCACCGTGGTCTCGATCTCCTGACCTTGTGATCCGCCCGCCTCGGCCTCCCAAAGTGCTGGCATTACAGGCGTGAGCCACCGCGCCCGGCCAATGACAGCCTTTTAAAGCTGCTGCTTGGAAGCAGAGTGAGCCCTGGAACTGGGAGCCAGACAGGCTGTGGTTCCAGTTGGCCACATAACAGCTGTGCCATCCTGGTCCTCAGTTTCCTCATCTGTCAAATGACCATAATGCCTGCCCCACAGGATTGCTTGAAGGCTCTGAGGAGCAAACGTATATGAAATGATGTTGTAAACTCTAATGTGCTGAATAAAAATAACCAGCTTGCCCCAACCTGCCTGTGGAACTGTGTTTTTTTTTTTAAATAAGTGATTTTTATCTCCTCTCGGATTCACTCACCAGTATCACATTCCTCTTGTATTCACTCAGCAGTAGGAGCAAATTACACACATGAGAGGTGGAAAAACAATGGGATCTGGGTGGAAGGTAGTCCCTGCTCTTCCCAGCCTCCCAGGGAATATGAGATGCTGTGAGTCCAACTGATTCCAGCGGATATCCAGCCCCACTTCCTTCCTAAACTACATGTGAACTCCTAGAAGCCACAATGTGCTCATTAAAATTTTGGAGAGCTTTTCTCTTTTGGAGAGTAGTATTTTTACACTACTGCCTAGGTCCAAATCGCAGAGATTCCAATTCCGTTGGTCTGTGGGGAGGAGGCCTCATCAGTATTTCTCAAAAGCTCCCAGGTGGTTCGAATGTGTAGGCGGGGCTGAGGGTCTGAAGGAGGATGGAAAGTTTGCCCTCTAAATATCTCAGGCCTCTGGTCTCCAGCCTGTTCTCCCCTATCCTCCACCCTATCCTCCCTTGGCCTTCCATGTCCCTTCCTGTGACCTGGCACAATGAACCGGACCTCTGGACTCTCAGAAAAATAGCCTAATCCTGAGAGGCCACACTACAAAGTCAAGTCAAACACCTCAGTGCCAAACATCTTTATTATGCAACTTTGAAGCACAGGACACTGCATTCTCGGAATGCTTAAATAATAAGATCTGTGTACACACTTCCAGCCTCAGCTGACCTTGCTCCTGATTTACTTTCCTGGAGGAGGTGAATGAGGCTCAACAACCCTGGAAGAAGCCTGTTTTTAAAGAAAAGCCCACACATACATCTTTCTACTTTGATGGGCCAACCAACCTGTGAACTAATGTCACCCTTACCTGTGATAAAATGTGAAAGTCAGATCTGGAAAATAAAGGTGTATGTGTTCAACGCCAAAAGCCCAAGAGTCAGTTGTGTCACGGCATGCAGACTTTTTTAATATAATATGGCATCAGATGTCATGATATGCAGTAT